TATTCTCGGCAAAAAAAGTTATAGCAGGCAATTAACTTGGAAAGCATTTCGAGTTTGACAAACGTACAATAAACTGGAACTTGAGAATTGGAAATGGTATTGGAAGGAAACAGATGTTAAGAAAAAAATGCTTTTTAAAGAAAGACATTCTGGGATGTTCGTGAGAAACCTATCATATAAATTATCCGATAGATATGAGCCAAATGTGGACTTAATGATAATTTAAAAAAATAGTAATAAAAATAATGAAACTGAAAATTATAAAATGAAAAAAGCATTGTAAGAAAACATATCAAAGATTGAAAAAAATAAAAAAATTGCAAAGTAAAGTTAGCAATATTATTATTGTTTATTTCTCCAAAATATAATAAATAAACAATCATAGAAACGTATATATTATAATATAAGATAATTTAGAATATACATAAATTATTAAAATATAATATTTTTGCAAGTTAATTTGTATATAAAATCATTTTACGTTATTTGTAAAACACTCGTAAGACACGTGATAAATCATGTGCTAAACATGTTAAGTTTTCAACCTTCGTAAGCGCAACGATCGTGGTTCATTGGAAGTGGTACAACAACAATAACAACAACACGAACGCGCCAGTTTCCAAATCGATCGAGATGCGAAGCAGTCCGACCACGCCAGTTATCATCCGTGGCAAGATACGCGTTTGACGCGTGGGCGGTGCGTGCCGCCCGAACGTAAGCTCGTAAATCGCCGGTGGCGTCGACCGTGGGATGTTTATTAAACGTAGGAGTTCGAAACGATCGCGAGAAGAAGGGCAAATTAAAGGATCGGTGTTATCGGTGTGTCGATACACTTGTCGTCCCCTCTTATACCTCGATCGTTAAAACATCGAAGGAACGGAGTCGACACGGCTATTTCTGGGCCACTGAATGCCCGCCCTCTGTCGTTTCACGTTTCGACACACCTATGACGCGGGAATCGCTCGTATCGCGCCTCGTTCACTTACCACGATTTCCCACAGGGTACGCGCGTATCGCGCTACGGGAATAAAATTTAAACTTGAGATTAATTTTAAATTTAACCATTTGCGCTCGAATGGTAACTCTGCGCCACCACTCGGATTCAGGCGGCAATAGGTTCCTAACCTCTTTACGTATAATCTTAGAAGTGTGGAATAATGTAATGTTAAATGGCTAGATTTTTTTTATCTCAAATTGGATCGCGATCGCGAATCAAACTACGTTTTCGGCGTTTGACTGTCGTGGGGATAGAAATATTATTTTCAAAGTTTTCGAGTTTTGCAAGCATGAAATATGGTAAAATGAAATTAGTTCGAGCGAAGATGAGTTTGATTTTTCCGTTATCGAATAATAGAAATTACTTCATTAAGAAATTAACAGAGAGAATGAAAATAGTGAAAGACATCAATAAGGAAATTATTTCGTTAAGAAATTGATGATAGGGAGAAGGAAAATAGTAATGAAAATAGTCGCCGTAAGAAAGTGAAAAATAAGAATAATAGACGTGAAATCCCCAGGTTATTGGGATCGTAAAGTTTTCTCTCGAAACGAAATAAGAAAGATGAAAGACATCAAACGGCATTTTATCGCGATACTTGCCCCGACGAACCGAGGATGCAAAATATTACAGAAAACAACGATATACACTTTAATATTCAACAAATTTTCTTTCCTTATACCTAAAGATACAAAAAAAATATAAAAGTTTTATGCGTTAATTTGTGCGTGAAATCACTTTGAATTGGCTATAAAAAAGTCATCGAAAAACGGATGATCGCGCGAAAGATTAAAATGGACGCAATTGAATTTCGGGTCGAGAAGGATCAAAGATTAACGCACCAATTAAAAATTCAAAAGCAATTCTTTTCCCACCAATTTTTTTATTCTCTATTTTCTTAAAATCTCTAAAAGAACATTAACAAATCTTGAAAAAAAAAACAAAAATATATTCGGTTGTATTTATACATAGAAAAACCAAAACTGCAGGTCTCACGAGTTAACTCGTGCGCTAAGAGGTTAATTTCCATCGTCGGCCTCGAACTTCTTTTATTTACAATCCAGCGAGACTCAAGACCGTTTGTTCGGTAAGGAGAGAAACAAAACGTGGGGATAGGGGAGGGGAGGGGATAGCGGAAGAAGGTAGTAAATATGTGGGTGGATTACGGATTGTGCACGCTCGATACAATAAAGAAATATATATTTGTACGGTTGACACATTCGACTAGTACAGCGTTAGAGCCGTGCGTGGGAGCGAATCGTATTTACGCCCGGCCTTCCAGATCCTTCCAGGGATTTACCGGTCTCTTCCTAGTCCCCATCTTCGAGTTGTTTCTTTTTCGAGATTTGCGCGGCCAAAATTGCATCCGTTATTTCGCGCTCTGCCTCTGAAGTATTTCCAATTTTTTCCTAGTTAAAGTTACGAGTTTTAAAATTGGGAATAATTCGATCTTTATGTTTAATTTGATTCGATAATTTCATGGACATTCGGACATCCCGTGACATTCAGCGAGATAATATATTTTATTTATATCTCTATTCGGAAGGCAGTGAACTCGAGCATTGGCTCGAACAATGAAAAGGTTGACATTCGTAACAAAAGGAAGAACATCGCGTGTCCGTGCAACCTGCAATCATAGTTACGAGCGTGAAAGCTCGTTTCGTGTCGCCGTAGCACAGGAAGACAGAGAAAGAGAGAGAAGCAACGACAATGAAGGAATCCTATGATAGGCCCAAGAAAATTATCCGTATTTATGATAATTTCTCTGCAATTATGTATATATATATATATATATATATATAAACCTTTGTTTCTTGGCTAAATTTCGTGAGAAAGAGTTTACCATCGTGCGAATTACAATATTACATACGTAACGTAACAATTTGTGATATTTTTAATCCGTGAGGAAGAAAGAGACGTTTGTTGTAAGAGGGAAGCTTCTCGAACGAGAATGAAATAGTCGGTAATTGCTATAAGACCAAGAGGAGCCGTGGAGCAGAAAATTATCACGGGGATACCCGATATTTGCGTATCCAAATGCCCGCCTCGTTGTTATTATTCTCATCCTTCTTACGAAGAGCGAAAAGAGAAATTAAAAAAGCGACGTGTGGGTCGCGTTGTGGGTCAGTTCGCCTACGAGTCTCGGATGTAAATGACGTTACCTTACCATCTCTCTCTCTCTCTCTCTCTCTCTCTCTCTCTCTCTC